TTTCCACAAAAATAAATATATCAAGGTGAACCAAAAACAAAACTGTTAAAAATAGATGTGAGATGATAATTAAAACTTAATTTAGAACAATATATGGATTTGCCACTCTGCAGAGTGCCTTAAACTTATGGTAAAAAACATATTTTTGTTTAAACCTGTATATTATAAACGTACGTCTATTCTTTTAGTAATTTTTAAAATGTAAGCGATTCTTCATTATTTTTTCTACAATATTCTTTAATATTTGTTTAAATCCAAAGTTAAATAAAAAAGTTATTTGCGATTGAAATTCATCGAAAATTTATGTGGATCGATCGCCTGTAAGTTTATTCTGAAAAAAACATGTTCATAAAATTAAACTAATGGTAAAAATATTCTTATGCTTAGTTTTAATAAATAAAAAATGCAATATAAACTTAAAACAACAATGAAACAAAAAATAGAGAACTCCAAAAATTCTCTACAATTAGATTTTCGTCTCATCTACTAATTCACCATTTATTTCAATACACTTTCATATTTGTTCTGGAGTAATGGCTACGCAGGCTTGTATTATCCTAGCCCGTAGTTCTTGTGCAGTTGAGGTGAAGAAAATCTAATCTAATCTATTTTTTGTTTTATTGTTGTTTTATTGCGTTTTTTATTTGTCAAAACTAAGCATAGGAATATTTATACCTTGGTACTATAAGTGTAATTTTATTTCAATGTTTTTTTTTCATGGTTAACTTGACAGAATAAAGATTTTACAGGGGTGAGTCGCAAACAAATGGGTCACATTGTATTTGTTTTTTTAATATTTAAATATCCGCCATAATAGTGTATTTCTTTGTGAAAATTTTAACCATAGGACGAACAGACAGACGAACTTATATTTTTAAAATATTTAAATTATTCCAAATCAAGTAGTAGAAAGACCACCATTTAAGTATCACTTTATCTAAATAGTTTTAGTTAAATAAGCACATAAAGATATTTTTTATTTCAAGTGATTCGGTGCACAAGGCCATTAAACTTGAAAAGCGTCTTTACTGGATTATTTTCTTAAATGTCTGCTCTATGCAATATAATTTTAACCATAAAACTGAACTTATCTTTAGGGTTTACAGAGCCAATGTTTATCCTGCAAATTGCCAAAAATATATACATACCTATATAACTGAATAAACATTGACAAAACCGATATAATATAACACAAAAGATTTGCAGACTATTAAGTTTTATTACATGGATGACTGCCTTAAAAATGTGTTACAAAAGCAATAAAAGGTTTTAGATTCTTTGAGTTAAAATTCTCCTTTTTTTTGTAAATATTCGAGAACAATGTCATTCAGGTTTTTCTTTTCTTTTATAGAATAAATGTTAAACAAATTATTTATAAATTAAGTCTTGAATTTTAAGTAAAATATTAAATTCCATGAAAAATTGCTAAGATTAAAATAAATTTAAATAATAAATACTATAAACCTATCATGAAAACTTAGATCAACAACTAAATATTTGCCACTCTGCAGAGTGCCTTAAACTTATGGTAAAAAACATATTTTTGTTTAAACCTGTATATTATAAACGTACGTCTATTCTTTTAGTAATTTTTAAAATGTAAGCGATTCTTCATTATTTTTTCTACAATATTCTTTAATATTTGTTTAAATCCAAAGTTAAATAAAAAAGTTATTTGCGATTGAAATTCATCGAAAATTTATGTGGATCGATCGCCTGTAAGTTTATTCTGAAAAAAACATGTTCATAAAATTAAACTAATGGTAAAAATATTCTTATGCTTAGTTTTAATAAATAAAAAATGCAATATAAACTTAAAACAACAATGAAACAAAAAATAGAGAACTCCAAAAATTCTCTACAATTAGATTTTCGTCTCATCTACTAATTCACCATTTATTTTAATACACTTTCATATTTGTTCTGGAGTAATGGCTACGCAGGCTTGTATTATCCTAGCCCGTAGTTCTTGTGCAGTTGAGGTGAAGAAAATCTAATCTAATCTATTTTTTGTTTTATTGTTGTTTTATTGCGTTTTTTATTTGTCAAAACTAAGCATAGGAATATTTATACCTTGGTACTATAAGTGTAATTTTATTTCAATGTTTTTTTTCATGGTTAACTTGACAGAATAAAGATTTTACAGGGGTGAGTCGCAAACAAATGGGTCACATTGTATTTGTTTTTTTAATATTTAAATATCCGCCATAATAGTGTATTTCTTTGTGAAAATTTTAACCATAGGACGAACAGACAGACGAACTTATATTTTTAAAATATTTAAATTATTCCAAATCAAGTAGTAGAAAGACCACCATTTAAGTATCACTTTATCTAAATAGTTTTAGTTAAATAAGCACATAAAGATATTTTTTATTTCAAGTGATTCGGTGCACAAGGCCATTAAACTTGAAAAGCGTCTTTACTGGATTATTTTCTTAAATGTCTGCTCTATGCAATATAATTTTAACCATAAAACTGAACTTATCTTTAGGGTTTACAGAGCCAATGTTTATCCTGCAAATTGCCAAAAATATATACATACCTATATAACTGAATAAACATTGACAAAACCGATATAATATAACACAAAAGATTTGCAGACTATTAAGTTTTATTACATGGATGACTGCCTTAAAAATGTGTTACAAAAGCAATAAAAGGTTTTAGATTCTTTGAGTTAAAATTCTCCTTTTTTTGTAAATATTCGAGAACAATGTCATTCAGGTTTTTCTTTTCTTTTATAGAATAAATGTTAAACAAATTATTTATAAATTAAGTCTTGAATTTTAAGTAAAATATTAAATTCCATGAAAAATTGCTAAGATTAAAATAAATTTAAATAATAAATACTATAAACCTATCATGAAAACTTAGATCAACAACTAAATATATGTAAAATTGACACTTAAAGGTATGTGCCATTAAAACTTGGCATTCGATTTTATTAGCTTTATTTGTATTATGATGTTGCTCTACATTGTTTCGTTTTATAGACCATTGAACAATATCCTAAACCTAAAAAGTCCAGTGGTTGTAAAACTTCAATGTATGAAGATTAATATAACGTTTTTTTAGTTTCATAAATGGTGTTTATTACTGCAATAATATGCACTTTTAAATTTACTAATAATTTTTAAATGAAAATAACTTAAAATGTTATACAAACTAAGCAACTAAATTATTGTACCATCCCGAAATTCTATCTAATTGATCATACATGTATAATATTCGTTTCTTGGTGAATTTTATTAAATTGTTTACTATTTTGTGACTTAATCCTTATTCTTTTTAAATAGCTTTTGAATTTTTTGATATATTTGATAAATTTTGTCAAATGCATAAAATATTTTTGTCTTTTCATTAAAATGTATCATCGCTTGGCGTCTGCATTTGGAGTGGTGGTGGCGTCGCCCATGTAGTCAGATAATTTGCTAAAGCAAAAAAGTTTTCTGTTTTATATTTCAAACAAATTATTTTGGGCTTTTATTATTATAAACAATAACAGCAATAACAAAACAAAGTAAAAGAGATTGGTTTACTGGGGTCTCACAGACACCACGGAATAATAGTATAAGAAGCGAGTAAAGGATGCCTTTTTAAGAGAAATAAATAAAATTTCAAAATTAATTAAGTAAATTACTTTAAATAAAGTAAGTAGGTATTCCCTTCTTGTCTTTTAGTTTTACGTTATAAACTAAAAAATTTAAAAATATATTATTCCATTGGTAAATTACCAGCAATAAAATCATAAAGAAACTTTTATAAAAAGCTAAAAATGTATTTGAGTTGTTTATATAAAAGTTGAATTCGAATTTTATTTGAACTAAACATTCTTTGAGTGAATAACATAAAATAGAAAATATTGTGTGGGTCTTTTGCTGTAACAGGTGATTTTTAAGGTTTTTTGGTATTAGTGAATTCAGTATATTTAAAAACTTTTATATATTTTACAAACCAAAATATACAGTTGAATCAAACATACAGCTTCCGTATGACACCCATGTTAAAAAATGTTTTATTTATTTATTCATTTATTAATTTATTCATTTATTTATTTATTATTTATTTATTTATTCATTTATTCATTTATTTATTTATTCATTTATTCATTTATTCATTTATTCATTTATTCATTTATTCATTTATTCATTTATTCATTTATTCATTTATTCATTTATTCATTTATTCATTTATTCATTTATTCATTTATTCATTTATTCATTTATTCATTTATTCATTTATTCATTTATTCATTTATTCATTTATTCATTTATTCATTTATTCATGCATTCATTCATTCATTCATTCATTCATTCATTCATTCATTCATTCATACATTCATTCATTCATTCATTCATTCATTCATTCATTCATTCATTCATTCATTCATTCATTCATTCATTCATTCATTCATTCATTCATTCATTCATTCATTCATTCATTCATTCATTCATTCATTCATTCATTCATTCATTCATTCATTCATTGATTCATTTATTCATTTATTCATTTATTCATTTATTCATTTATTCATTTATTCATTTATTCATTTATTCATTTATTCATTTATTCATTTATTCATTTATTCATTTATTCATTTATTCATTTATTCATTTATTCATTTATTCATTTATTCATTTATTCATTTATTCATTTATTCATTTATTCATTTATTCATTTATTCATTTATTAGATTAAAATAATAAAAGGTCAATTTTTGTCACAACTAATAACAATTAACTACTTTTTTGTTTTGTTTGTTTGTTTTTTTACCCATCCCACGAAAAAAAGATTTTGATGTTTTGTATATTGGTATTTTTTATTGATATTCCTTTTTATAGAAAATGTGTAATTTTTAATCGATACATTTTTATAAATAGTTCACCTTAACGAACATTACAAAACCTTTTTATTATAAACTTAAGTGAGCTTTAAATTTTAAAAATATCGGGTTAACTTAATTGTCCTTTAAAGTTCACCGGGCCGTTTGTTTTCAGGACAAATGGGTAGTTTGCAGGAGCTGGCACATGGTTTAGTACAATGGACTTTCGGAACGACTATCCTAACAGCCTTGACGGCTTCAGAGTTTTCCGGAACGGAAGCGGTCATTGCGATCATCGTTTCAGGCCTAACTTCCACTTTGACAGGTAAAGGGTGTGTAGACTAGATTGCTTGACCTTATTTCATTGTTGTATAAGTACACTGTTAGTTTAAAAGGTAACTTTTGCTCTCTCAAACGTTTAGATAGATTTTGTTGGAAAAACATTTATAAAAGTAAGTATAAATTAAATTGTTTAAAAGTATAAAATACTAGGTAGGTACTGAATTATAAACTTGATATAATGCCATTAAATTAATATTTTAAAATTGACATTATTATTAAATATATTTTAAATATTAAACAATAGTAATATTATTAAATAAACGAAAATATAGAATTGTATAACTAATTTAATTATTTTATAATTTACTTTGTTATTCTCGTAGTACTAATTTAAATATAAATTAATAAGAATTTGTTCATTTATAATAGTTTACAACTAAAAACTTTTTTTATGAACCAAATATTTTATAAAAAGATGAATAAGAAAATTAGGATTTTTTTTTGTATAAGATGAAATTAAAATGGTATTTAGCGTCAATTTCATTGGTATGGCGTTGCAACGAGTTGGTGCGTCATTTTTGGAACAGCCTGTATTGTTGATCTATAACTAGTGGAATATACTTCGAGAGTATATAGAATACGTAAAGATAAGGCGAAAAGTCCTAATTAACGTATACCCAAATATGCTAGCTAAGCAAGATACAGGTGAAGTTAAAAAAGTACTCTTAATAGATGTATCTACACTGTAGAGTCTACAGTGTCTATTTCTCGAGATATTTAGATTCAAAAAAGCTTTAAAAATAAAACAATACGTTCCGATTAATTAGGAAAATTAAATAGTTTTAACAAGTCTATAATAGTCCTCATACCTTTACTGGAGATAGTGGTGCTGAAAGCGATTGCATCAGTATACAGGATGTCCCAAATATATGGGCAATCTCCCGGATTAAGATATCACATAAAAATAATATGACAAGTTTCTATAATTTTTTTCCTACGGCCCCCCTACGGAGATACTGGCCCATAACGGACGCCACTGGAAAGAAAAAAAAATCGAAAATTTCAACACACTATTTTCAACTGACACTGACATCATTATTTAATCGGTAAATCAAAAAAAACATTGCAAAAAAATAGAAATAAATGTAAAAACCCTATTGTACAAAAACATTTTTTTTTCGTAAACAGTACATTTTATGGATGTCGATCAAGATTATGTTTTTTTAGTTTAAGGTTTAAGCTGACTAAAAATATTATTGTTGTGCCTTTGGTAGTACAGGGTGTTAAAAAATGGCATTACTCTTTTAGAGCTAGTCCGTCCCTAGCAAGCTTATTAAGCCGAATGTGATTAAAAGTGCCCATTTTAAGGAAACTTTCCTAGTAACCAACATATTTAAAAAATATTCAATTCCACCTTGTAGTTTCCAGATTTCCAGGGGTGTCCGTTATGGGACCGTATCTCCGTAGAGGGGGCCGTAGGAAAAAAAATGTATAGGAACTTGTCATAATATTTTTATGTGTTCTATTTGAATCCGAGAGATTGGTCACATATTCTGGGATACCCTGTATATAGACGAGAGCCATAAGTTATACATTTTGTTTTAGAAACGGAAATCATTTAGAAACTAGTTTCTTCTTAAGGTTGTCCTGGAGTGAGTGTCTAATGATGAGAATTTGATAAAAATGTACAAATAAATTCTTTATGATGCTTCACATCATCCTGTTTAATTTAATAAAAAATCTTGTCGTTGGAAGCCGAGTAAATACATTTAAAAAGTTAAGTAAAAATACACGTGTTCTTATGCCATATATGGCAGCACGTGGATTGTTACTCTTTTCTCCTCCGAAATAATTATTGGTAATGATAGGATTGCAATGAAAAATGAGTATATCGTGGAGCGTAATTTCAAAACATGATACTTACGCGAAGTTTCATAATAATCATGTCAGTAGGAAAAAAGTTCTATTGGATTAAATCGGTGAATTCACGAAATTTGTAGCAAGCGTATGTGTGAAAGAGACAGCGAATACGACGTTGCCAAGCGTTGCGACTGTTATTGGCGAAATTTTTAAAAGCGATGTTATAGATTTTTATTCATTCACATACACTTTAACAACGCCTCATGAACTGACAATGCTATTACGTTGCAAAATAATAAAAAAAATCGCCTAAAAATGGAATTTATACCCATATGAATTTTAGTTGCCTGTAGTTGGCAACGGATTTTAAATCTAATGCTGTAGGACACAGTTCTACCACGATCGAAACACTAAAACTCATGCCCGGACATCCTTAAAATCATTTGTACCTATTATGACAATGAATTTGTATATCATAAAAGAACAATATAGCAAATATTTAATTAAATTATTTTTTGCTAGCATTATCTGGTTGGGCTCTGAGCACCGAACAAACCTACAACAAAAAGAAGTTTTCCAGTATTTTCTACTTCTTTATAATTTGGTTTGAGATTTTGACCAGCCTGGCAGCGGCTGCAACCTGCTCTAGGTTGGCCAGCGCCACCGTGGATTACATTAGTAGAGGGCATTTTCGGGAACTCCTTTTTGGAATCGAATCCCACTCTTTGGGAGAGCCTTGGCCCGATGTATTGGGTGTCACAATTATTGTGGTGGTCACCATTTTGTTTATGATGGGTTTAGAAGTAAGTAGATTAATTTTTTTTTAATATTAGACAAGTTATATTAATAATAACCTTAAATAATGTTAGGACAACACATTAAATTTGTAAATTTAAACTAAATAATGAAAAATACATAAAACATGTTGTTATAATGGCAAACTAAAGGTTTAAAACTCATATTTTTGTGTTTCTTAAGTTGGTAGCACGAAATTTAAAAAATTGTTTTTTTGAGATTTTCATAGAAATATACTGAAATAATCAATTTTTAAGCCATCAACCTGATCCTTTTTGGTTGCTCAAGTTTAAAAAAGAATTTTTTAAAGAAACAACGGGTAATAATACTGAAGGAAATAATTCCACAGATTTCCCATAGATTATTTTAAAGATTCGTTAATAGCTTAAAAATTGATTATTATAGTTTATTTTTTATGGAAATCTCATGAGCGATCTCGTGAGATACAAAATAAAAAATGGCGTTAAAACAAATGTAATTTTAAAAATTATTATGTGATGTAAAAAAACTTAAATTATTTGTGAATGCATCTGATGTCTCACAAAATCATATATTAAATTTAAAAGATATTCTATGAAAACTCTTTAAATGTAAATACGTACAACGGCGGACATGGAATTTCGAACGACGTGTTAAATAATGTCAATGCAAACCATCAAATAATGTCCATGCAAACCATCCCTTATAATAAATGTCATTATTATTAGCTGGCCATACACAGGCGTTATTTTGCGCGGTTTATCGTGGCGTGTTGGGATGTAGCAGTTAGTATGCACGAAAGAACGACATGGCAAAAAAAGCGTCATGTTCCATACACTTGATAAAGTATTCAAATGATTTAGCAAGTGATTGCCCGTGGTATATCAGTTTTAAAGGAAAAATCGTATGTGAGTGGGCAAAAAGTGTCATTTATCGAGTCGTTTGAAACTGCATGTGATCATTAAGGCCCGGATTTTAGGTAAAACACCTTTTGTTAGTTTTTTAGGTTTTAAAGATATTTTTTTGTATTTGCCCGTTTTATAAAAAATGGAGTCATCTGACTAAGTTTTATTTGACCTAAAATACCTTTTTTATATTTTTTTTACCTATTTTCCTTTTTTGCACCTAAATTGTATTTTTAGTACCTAAAATGAACTTTTTTTACCCGTCCTGTGACGTTGAACGATCATTCTCTTGGTTTAAAAATGTTTTGACTGATAAACGCTTTACTTCTGAAAACTTGGAGAAATATTTTGTCTGTCATGCATATAATCGTTAAATAAATTAATAAAATTTACTTTTTTTTTGATTTTAGAGTTCCTATTTTGTTTTTTTTGTAATTTTAGAGTTCCTATTATGTTTTTTTGCAATTTTACATTATTTGTGATATGATATATTTACTTTTTTAAAGAATCTTTTATTTTATTTGTTATTTTTCCAACCAAACATTTTTGTTTAGTTAATGTTAATAATAAATATTATTTTAATAACTATTTCATTTTTAATTTAAATCCTTTATTGCCGGACATTAACAGAGCAATTATAATGTAACTAAAACTACATAAGACCTATGTATGGTTTTACAACGATATCGACATTATAATGAAAACATTTTATTTCAATAAATCAGCTTATTTTTTTTTATTTAAGTACCTAAAATGTAGGCACCTAAAATAATAACCTAATTTTATAACTATGTGACCTATTTTTTGCATTTTTTTTTATTTTTTATAACCTAAAAATACGGGCCAACCAATATTAACTTTTTAATTAAGTACCTAAAATATAGGTACCTAAAATAATAACCTATTTTATTAAAAATATCACCTAATTTAGGAACCTTTTATCACTTTTTTACGACCTAAAAATCCGGGCCTTAGTGATCATGTACAAATTTTCAACGTGAAATTTTGCCAAGCAAAGGTAAACCGTGACGCGGAATGTGGCGTGTGGACACTCCACACTCCAGAGGAAAGCACGTCTGAAATCCCTTCCCGTTTTATCATTGCGCGCGGCGATACTCACTCACGTACATGATTTTCCATATGTTTTTGCAGATAACACGATAAACCGCGCGCAATAACGTCTGTGTATGGCCAGCTAATAGCTGGCCATACACAGACGTTATTGCGCGCGGTTTATCGTGTTATCTGCAAAAACATATGGAAAATCATGTACGTGAGTGAGTATCGCCGCGCGCAATGATATAACGGGAAGGTATTTCAGACGTGCTTTCCTCTGGATTGTGGCGTACATCATTTCAGCAGTGTCCACACGCCACACGCCACATTCCGCGTCACGTGACACTTTTTGGCCACTCACATACGATTTTTCCTTTGAAACTGATATACTACGCGCAATCACTTGCTAAATCATTTGAATACTTTATCAAGTGTATGGAACATGACGCTTTTTTGCCATGCCGTTCTTTCGTGCATATTAACCTCTACATCCCAAACGCCACGATAAACCGCGCAAAATAACGCCTGTGGATGGCCAGCTATTAGCTGGCCATACACAGACGTTATTGCGCGCGGTTTATCGTGTTATCTGCAAAAACATATGGAAAATCATGTACGTGAGTGAGTATCGCCGCGCGAAATGATAGAACAGGAAGGGATTTCAGACGTGCTTTTCTCTGGAATGTGGCGTGTCCACACGCCACATTCCGCGTCACGGTTTACCTTTGCTTGGCAAAATTTCACGTTGAAAATTTGTACATGATCACATGCAGTTTCAAACGACTCGATAATGACACTTTTTGCCCACTCACATACGATTTTTCCTTTGAAACTGATATACCACGGGCATTCACTTGCTAAATCATTTGAATACTTTATCAAGTGTATGGAACATGACGCTTTTTTTGCCATGCCGTTCTTTCGTGCATACTAACCGCTACATCCCAACACGCCACGATAAACCGCGCGAAATAACGTCTGTGTATGGCCAGCTATTGACTTTATCATTTATAATTTGAAGTTTTTTATGTAATAATCGCCAGCTTAAATATATTTAGTATACTAAAATACAATGACAGCTGTATCTTACTTGACAGGTCGTTCAAAATTCTGTGTTCATTGTACTACCTTAAATGGTCGATGTTATTAAAATTCTGATTTGAAATGTTTACTTCCGATTTTTTACAAAAATAAATAGATTTTAAATTTGATTTGATTAAAGAGTATATAAAAATTACCTAAATTTTCGAAAAAAAACACTATCTTTGTTTAATATTTAATTGTAAATTTGTTTAATTCAAAAAATTACTTCCGAAGAATCCGTACTTCATATTACGACAATTATTTAGAAGCCCACAACTTGACAACTAAGCCTTATACAAAAAAGAATATGGGTCTACATTTACACCTTCTAGATGGGTATTTTTTAGAAGTTTGAACTTTAAAATGAAATAAAACACATAGAAATTATCGTAAAGGCCATGTTTTCGAGTTCATTGGAAAGAAAATTGTATGCCATTTGTGTTTAAATAAGATTTCAGCCATATGGGCGTGGTGGCAGGCTGGAATAAAGCACAAACTGAAAGTCCGATTTTCGAGCACTTTTTCAAGCAATTTCCAACCTTAAAAGCAAACATCCACCATATATCCATGGATGTTGGAGGTTGAAGAGTTCCAACATCCCCACATAAAAACATATTCTCGTGTGATATGACACGATCGTGGAGGTTGATTTACAGGTCCATTACGCGAAATTATGCGTATTGGGCAATTTTGTTTGTTTACAAAATATTATTTTGAAAATGAGGATCAAGAGCAATCACGTTTTCGTTACATTTACGAAGCAACAATGACGCCCGCTCTTACATGTTTAAAATCAAATGAAAAACAAAAGGCATAAAATATTGTTTCCAATAAACTCAATTATTGTATTTGTATTTGTATTTTTTTGTGACCCAATTCAGATGAAATACCCCTAAAGATAAAATACTCACCGCGTCATAGCCGTCGCCATGCTTCATCATTTATTAAATCCGCTTGTGGTCCAAAATAATTTAAAAAATCAATAAAAAAAAGAATTTGAGTACCTTCTGTTTTTTTAATATATAAAGCATTGTGTATATGGAGTGGACTTGCAATGGGACAAACACAAATAAACAACCATAACAATGTTGGTTTCGAACTAAATCAAATCTAATCTAATCAAATAAATATATTTAAACAATAATTATTGTAATTATTATAATAGTACAAACATTTAGAATTAAAATATAAAGAAAAGAAGTTAAGAAATGTTTTTGTCCACACTGAGTCAAAAGGTCCGAAGCACTCGGGAAAGCTGACGATGGTGTATCAAATTGTTTCGTATTACAATCCTGCCTTTTTAACGTTCCCTTTACATAGGGATAACAGGGCGCTTAGACCAAACGTTACTTGATTAAAATTTTAAAATTATAAACATTATTGTAATTTTGTTTGATTTTAGATTAGAGCACAATTTCGCTTTTATAGAAATACTTTCGTTACAACTCTTCGCTACAATTTTAATTTTCTTTAACTTCTCTTTTACAGAAATCCTCAACAATTTCATTACTCCTTTTCGCTACAGTTATAAGCACATTTGTGTTCTTTATATCTTGTGGAAGTTTCCACACTATTTTACATTTTTCTAAATGGTACGAAAGTTTTAAAGTTCACTCCATTAAAGGGGTAAGTAAATATTTAATAAAAATAATATTGTCTTAAAGAAAATATGGTTTTAGGTCCTTACAGCTACTGCAGTAATATCATACTCTTTCATCAATAATATACCTAAGCTAGATAAGAATCAAATATCAAACTTATTTTTAATAACAATAAACTCAGTAATATTTTATATCATAATAGCGATATTTTATACGTTTATGAGTAATTATAAGTAAGTAGTGTAATTTCTTATCAATTACAAATGTTGTATTTATTATTATTATAGGGAATTATCTGGCACTGCAATACCATTAGTAAAAATCTTTGAAGCCAGAGATGTTGATTGGGCTAGAGCGGTTATGGCAGTCCTTACCATTGGCACAGTGTGTCTGGTGCTAACCGAAATTTTACCAACAACATTTTCATCCTTCGTAAAGTTAGCGAATAGAGAATGGCAAATATTTGTGTCATCATTGCAATATCAAAGCACTTTGACTGGAGCTCCAGTATTAGCAATATTTGCAGCAGGTAAGCAAATTTAAGATGTATAGATGCAGGCTCTGACAAGTTACTTTAAATAAGTTTAAGAAACAAGTTTTAGAATATTTAATATTGAGTTAAGAATATACAAAAATTATAAGGTTTAAATTGAAATGTAGTAGAGAAGAAAAATATGACAGGTATTTTTTTAAATGATTACTTTTTAACAAAATGCGTTAAGTAAGTAAGTAAAGAGGATCAACCCAACTAATATAAGTACAGTAAAAGTTCTTAATTACATCGAAATACATACTTTTCAAAAGCACCACTTGATAGAGAATCAAAAAACAAAAGGAATTTCCAGGAAAAACATTTATGGAAAAATTAAAAATAACTGAGATACAGACCTTCAAAGTTCGAAACTAAAAATCGTTTTTTTTCTTATAACTTCTGAACTTTTCTACTGATTTGGCTCAAATTTTACACAAATAGTTAGGAAATACTGACTCACGTACTGCCTATAACAATTATTTTCATCGCACTCCAGTGGCGTAGATATTGGGGGTGTAGGTTCCCTTTTTCCGACCTATGTTTACGCCACAATTATTTTGTTCAACTAGGGAAAGAAAGTTATAAAGTTATAAAGTGCTCTTTTAGTTCCACCCTTACATCCAAACTAAGATGTCCCATAAGCCAACTGAATGGCTTGTGCGGGTTAGGGGTAGGAACGGACCGACGGCTTACTTTGGTAAATTTTTGATCAGACGCTTCGCTACAAAAATATTCAAGTATGATTGTTTGAAAAACATCTTCCTACGCCCATTTGTAGGATATAGAATTCATATTCCCTAAACAACAATAGTCTATCGCGTTGTACAAATGTAAAAGATTTTGGCATCACGTTTGATAATAAATTTACATTTTCTGACCATATTTTAAACATAAATAATTCTTCTTTAAAAATGTTGGGTTTTTTAATCAGAAATTGTAAATCATTTAAAAATATGGATTGTCTTAAAACATTATATTTTACTTTGGTTCGATCCAAACTGGAATATGGAGCACTTATATGGAACCCAAAGTATAACATACATATAAATCTGATTGAAAGAACCCAACGAAGATTTTTTAAGTTTTTATGTCATAATGTAAATGGAGTTTATCCAGAAAGGGGTTTTGACAATAGAACATTATTGCTAATGTTTAATGTACCTTCGTTAAAGCAACGCCGAGATATTCTATCTCTTAAGTTTTTGTTCAACTTATTACACAATAAGATTGATTGCCCTGACTTGCTGTCACAATTTAATCTTTTAGTTCCAAGAGCTAGTGCTAAAAGTAGTTTGTCAGGTCTTATCTCCTGGGCTGCTATTGCTGCTCTGCTGCGAGTTAGACTTGGAGCAGAGCAGCAACAGCAGCCCAGCAGATAAGACCTAAAGATGGTACATGAGATTGTACCGAAACGTTGTCAGACATACGGTTCTTTTAAGAACCAAAAACCGACAACACAGAGCATATATACACTGAGAAAAAAATGGGACAAATAAACTGTGTAGCTAATACTTTTATTAATAGTGAATATATTGTTTATTACCTCTAAATAGTCGAAATAATAACGATAAATATACTTTAGTAAAACTTTATGTGTCGGGAATAAAAATATATTTAGGATAAATAAACTGTACCCTTGTCCCATATTTAAATATTCAGTTTATTTGGGAGCAATAAACTTTTTTCTCAGTGTATATAGGTATATATATATATATATATATATATTAGGGTGCTTCAAAAAAAATTTTTAATTGTTTTTTTCGCTCTTACCCTCTCAAATGTTTCTATTTAATATAAAAAAATCCTCACCAAATATGGGCGTTCCAGCTTAACTCTAAGAGGTCGCTGTTTTTATTTTAGTTTCCCATTTAATTAACATGGGAAAAAATAATTTTATGTTTGGAATTTTATACATCTGTATCAAAGTAACTTATGGCAATGATCATTGCAGTTTTTTATATAAAATGTAATGCTCTACAAAAACGGTCTCTAAAAAATAGATTGGTTTAAAAAGTTCAAAGCCTAAAGGTTGCTTAACAAGATTGCCAAAATCTTCTGTCTGATCCATGGATTTTATAAACAACTGCATGGTGATGCGCTTTGGCAAACTTGGTAACTTATAAGTGTATACTGTATAACTGTATAAGTGTATACTGTATAACAGTGTATATATTATCCAATTTATTTATATTATAAAATTTTTATAAATATTCATAAAGGTGGTGCTTTAATTTTGTTTATAAGTTATTATTTTAAAAGAGTTACTTATAAATGTTTGAAGTCGTGTTCCTTATGTAAAACGTCTATTTTTGTATTAATAATTTTAATAAAAATTTTTTTACGTTCTCACTCTTGACTACGTTTGCCCTTTTTCATCTATTTAAAAGGTTTCTTAAAAGAATACCTTAATTTTTCAATGGGGTAATTCCTTTTGGTTTTTTTAATGTTTTTAATTTAATTTATAATATTTATTAACAAATTTCCATGGAAAAATTCTAGTATCATTAAAATTACACAGAAAGTGGTCTTTGGAAAAGCAAAACAACGTTCTCATGTATGCGTCTTTTTAAATTGGATTTTATAATACATATTAAAAATTATTTTTACTTTTAGGTAGTTTAGCAGCAATACTGGCTTTTGCCTGCCCTTTATGGCATTTAGTAAAACTTCTAAATGCAGCCAATTTTGTCAAATGTATTTTTAACTCAGTTCAGCTAATCTATAATAGATACAAGCCTGAGATAAATAATGATCAGCTTGGTAAATAAAACACAAATTATCCCTTAGTAAGTTACTAATTTATTATTTTAAGTGTATCACACAAACGTTCATTACAAAAAATTAAACCAAAATCCATCCAAAATAATAAGGCCTTGTTGCTTAAGCGATAAATTAAAGTCCATGTTCGGCATATCACAAAAGAAATACATATCGAAAATTAGCGTCCCGAAAAGTGGTACATTTTTGCTTAAAAATTTTACCGGTGAACAGGAAAGTTTGCTATTGGATGATTATAGCAATGTTTCCACCACATTGGCTGATGATGACCAATCAGAAAATGAGGAAAACAATTTAGAATCTGGAACTGATGGGGAAGAATCTACCGATTCTACTGATGTGGATGTGGTGGTCCAAGAATATAAAGATAAACTTAAAGTAAGTATTAGAATTATAAATAATTAGCCCAATAAAAATTGCATCAAACTGAATTTGTATGGAGGTATATCAAAGCAAAAAGCCTGCAAAATAAAAAACTCCAGCTCGGTCGAAATTGTTTATATTTTAATTTTATTATGCTAAATTTTTATTTGTTTTGAGCATTTAATAGCATTTACATTTTTTAGGTGACAACAATAACAAAATTCAATGAAAAGCTACCATCAACAGTTTTAACATTCTCCATAGTAATAGTGTGTTTTATAATAGTCATAATGGGGTCTATTGGATTAAGTCTGATTCTTTTTAAATATACGTTTTTCTTGTGGCCTAGTTTTATAGGTAGGCCTTAAGTTACGTAGGATATACAATTACAAATAAAAATATGCTTTTCAGGAATTTTAATATCCTACCTAATAATTATTGTGATGCCTCAAAACCCGGCCGAAAAAACAAACGAGTCAACATTGCTGTCGTGCGTCCTTTCTACTAATATCCTGGTTTCTATGACAATAAATATAATTTTATTATCAACCATCATATCAGATGTTTGGCAAGGAATAATCTTTTGGCTTATAGCAGGTAAGTTTTTAAATCAATAAAAAGTTATATTGTGTGTATATTTATAAACCATTTTTAAGGGAGAAAATTAAAAGCCGGTAAAACAGAATATTAACTTTAATTACTCTATGTTTGTATAGAAGTAGTTTTTTATAATATTATATTTGTACTAGAAGAAGTATAGTATGCAACTCGTTTATAACCTTTTCTAGTCACTCATTTAATTAAACACTCGCTTGCAAGCTTCGCTCGTGCTTAATTAAAATTCGTGGCTTTTATCAACCTTGATACATAATATAGTTACTATTAATTTATGAAAGCCAACTGATTTATAACTATTTAAAACTTATTAATTTAACAAAATGGTTATAAATGAAATTTTTCAAAAAAATTAAGTTGGTGAGTTTGATTTTTTCCCGTTTATAAGGACTAAAAAATCCAAAGAAAGCTGAGAAAAGTTTAATGATAATCTTTCGACCTCTAATTCGGCCACCAAAAGTTAAAATATTTTTTCTACTCCCACCTTTAAAACGCCCTTTATCGTACATGTTTCCATGACACCAAGTGACCTTTTAAATACACAAGTTGTGGCTTTATGGCGCTTTAGTCACGGGCTGAAGTTAGCAACAGGCTTTTAGTCAGTTAGTTTTAAGTTAATTGACAGTTGTCAAATGTCAAACAATCGTTAAAATAAAGTGCCTTTCTTGTAAAATAATACTAAATGTGAAAATTATTTTATTATCTCAATACAAAAATACAAAAGTATTAAATAGTTTCTCAACGCCAATATTTGAAAAGATTATATGAACATTGTACTGACCTTTTACTGACGCCGGCAGTAAACTTTAACTTAAATTTGGGCACGGACTCCACTGTAAAGTGCTCATAAAACATTTTCTTTACTTTCACTGTGAAAAACTGTCAATTTTCAAGAAATACATTTCGATTTATAACCTTTATAATTGTATTTATAAAATAAAAAAATTGACATTTGACGGTGACACACAGATTCCCCAATTGTTTCATAGATGGCGCTCTATACAAATTTTTGATTTAAATCATTTTAAGATAATAATAAGTATTTGTCGTAAAAAAAGTATAGTATGCACCTCGTTTATAAACTTTTCTATACACTTATTAATTTAAGCACTGGCTCGCAAGCTCTCTCGTGCCTAAATTAAATTCGTGTATAAAATGGCGTTTATCAAACTTGATACATAATATACTATTAAGTACGGTGTGACTGTTGGAACCACATCATGATACAAACAATTAAGGTAGTTTTAAAAACTTAATTAAGAAGTCAAACTTATGTATCTACATTACATTTATTTTTTTAATTCAATATTCAAATGCTTATTGAGACACCCTTTATAACTTTTTTTTTATTTTAGGTCTACTTCTTTTCTGGAGATGCGATTGTTGCACATGCGACGGTTTAATATCGAACAAATCAAATAGCAAAGTGCACTGCGCACATGTTCCTGAAGAAATTATTTACGAATACAAAGAAATGCATCCAGATACTTTTTACGTGGCCAGATGACACAACGAGTACCTCGATGACGATACTCTTTTGTCCGATTCCGAGGAAGAATTATACTCAACATAAACTATACTTTATAAAGTAATATTGCGAGATATTATAAAAAAGTACTTAGTAGTTTACTATACACCTAAAATATAGTGGATAGTAATCTGGTGAAAAGGCTTTTACTGCGTAACTGATTCGAACTATACGGGTTGACTAATATATGTTTAATATTTGGAAGGATATTTTTTTAAAAATAAGGATTTTTATAAGAATTTTTTATTTTAATATACAGGGTGTCCCGAAATCACCGCACCATAAGGTTGCAAAAAATAAGAGGAAAATTTCTTTTACCATTTTTTCGAATTCAAAAAATTGCAGGAGTTATATTTTTTGTATTTGCAAAAGACGCTGATATTCTATCATTGGGAAAAAGTAAACAAAAACAAATTTAGTGCGTTTTATCGCAACACTTGTGCATTTTTTTTTCTAAAAAACAATTTTTTTTAATAAATAAATATATAAGTATTGATAGTCTCTACTTTCTCTTAAAAACTTAAAATAATACTTATTAAGCCGAAAAAACTTAGTAAGGAATAAAACTTGTATGTATGTAGAATACACCGGGTGTAATAATCACAACAAAATTGTACTTTTTATTTTAATAGTTTCTTTTTATATACGCAAATATTCATCTGACCGGACCAGACAGCTGACCGTCATGTGAGCTCGTCTTTCTGCGTTTTTTAGATTAATATAGGTCAGTACGTGCCAGCGTTACCAACCCTGGAAAAATTTTCCCTTCAGAATTTGTTTTGAATTCCTTTTTCTTAACTTATTCAAATAAATTTTTAAGGGTGTCCCAAAAAAAAAGAATATATTTTTTTTTCTTGTCTCTTGTAAAAATATGTTTAGTTTATCATGCTGTGAGAGCCCTTTCAAAATATCAGCTCGATTAAAAATTTTGTAGGGGTCGCTCAAGATTTATAAAAATTTTCAAAATGGTCAAAAATTGAATTTTTGTTTTATTTTAATTCTTTTTCTCGTCTCGATATTATTTTTTAGGTTGAAAATAATAAAAATTCTGTAAATTTCAAATCAATATTTTGATTTCTAAAGGTCGCTAAAAGTTCGTTGATATTTATATTCAGAGGTCGCTCGAAAACATTTAAAATACTCTACTTTGAAAGTTAAAAATATCTTGAGCGACCTTTAGAAATTAAAATAACGATTTGAAATTTTCAGAATCATTATTATTTTTAAATTAAAAAATATTATCGGAAAGAGAAAAAAAATTAAAATAAAAAAAAATCCAATTTTTGACGATTTTGGTAATTTTTAAAAATCTTGAGCGACCCCTAAAAAATTTTTAATGGTGCTGATCTTTTCACAGGGCTCTTAAAACATGACAAACCAACATATTTTCACAAGAGACGAGAAGAAAAAAAATATTTTTTTTTGGGACACCCTAATATATATATATATATATATATATATATCAATTTGGTAATTTAAATTAAACTCGCGATTGTCTTGGAAGTTTATCAAACTCCATTATATATATATATATATATATATATATATATACAGTGCTTGCAAATCCCAGTCCGACCGCACTGGAAAGGACGGCTGTTCAATACCCGCGTGAAAAGAACAAGGATAGAACGCCAAATAGAATTTGATTGGCCAGAGCCCCGGATGCGTGCGAATTGTAAGCGAGGTCAACTCTCAGTCTGGCTGCATTTAGACTAAATGATTTAGTGTTAAGCAAACTGCGTTAGAGTGTAGATGCACATTTTAATTTTCTTTTTAAATATTTTATACTCGAATCCTAAAAATAAAATTGTTTGATTTTTTTCCTTGAGAACTAGGGCAACAACAAAAATAGTATTCTTAATAAAAAAGATTTCTCAAATAAAAAATAATTCTGAATAAAAATAACTATAAATAAAAATAAAACTCTAAATAAAAATAAAACTCTAAAAATAAATAATAAAAATAAATAAATTCAAAAATTAAATTAAATGTTCGAACAAGCCCCCATAGGCAGCCAAACAATAGCATAACCTATTATAAAAATTCCCGTCGGAACTGCATCGGAACTACACAACCGTGCGTGAGAAAATTATTAACGTTTCGTCGAATTGTTTCTCTGTTTGGTCTGGCCTCGAACATTCCCGCAAATAATCTTTGAATTTCTCGTTCAGAATTACCAGCAAAGTGCCAGATTAAAATCTGAACTTTTTGTTCCACCGTGTACATTTTTTAATTAAATAATCTTTTTTACTAAAATTACTACCTCTTGCTGGCACCACTGCAGTTCTCGTTCTGATATCCTCGAGGCAAGCACGCTGCGAGGTGCGCGATGGGTATGCGTTGTCGTATCCTGCCGGCTCTGGCCAATCAAATTCTATTTGGCGTTCTATCCTTGTTCTTTTTACGCGGGTATTGAACAGCCGTCCTTTCCAGTGCGGTCGGACTTGGATTTGCAAGCACTGTATATATATATATATATTGCAAAGACTGAAATGCCTTCCATCTCGCCACCAAGCTGGGCTCGAAGCGCGTCTCCCGAATGGTACCCAGTCAGCATCCAATTCAGAAAGATTTCAGTATGAAGTCTTTTAAACAACTTCGTGTAGAAGTTCTAACATGACGTCTTAAACAGCTCCTTTTTATGAGCTCAGAATTCTGAGCTGTTAATGAACTCATAAATAAGAAGTCAATTTTTTTACGTACAAATGAATATCTTGATCTTGACCTCTTTTTGAACAATTTATTTTGAGCTCACAGAGTATTCTTTTTTCTTACTTCCAACTGAAATCATACTATTACCTCTTTTAGAAGTCAACATGGAGACGTCACATTTAAGACAATTTGATGCGATTACTTTCTTCTCACTGCTGTAACTGCTTGTGTTTGATATAAGAAGCGGCGAAGTAGAATTTAGAGCGTGCTCCATATCAAACGGTCTTAGACCTAGGTAAACGGCTACCCGATACTGACGAGCTCCAAAAGAGCGAAACAGGCCGTCTATCGGTGCCGGTGAAGAGCACGCTTGAATTTAAACAAAAGTGAGACGAAGTAATCGCAATTCCTTAAATAAGCGAATACGAGCAAATTAATAAAATGATTTTAATAAAATCAATTTAACAAATTAATAAAATTAATAAAATAACCTTGACAAGTTGACATGTCAAAATAAGCAACGATCCAGTATGCAATTTCTTCATCAGTACCCTTCTATATTCAAAACGGAAAATTCTAAAGAAGCCTTTTTATAAGTTTATACAGTAGGACTCTTTAAAATGCTTAATTGCGAAGTCAAAGAAAAGGGTTCCGCAAGAGTTCTTTTTTGAGAAGTCTTGATTAGTTCAATAGGTGGCGCATTCGAAGTCTTAAGAACTTCTTAAAAACTTCTTTCTGATGTTGTATTTGACGTCCAAATCAGCTTATGCAGACTTAATTAAGACGTCATATTGCTGTCTGGGTATGGTCCAATGAATAATGCACCATACCCAACAACACTGACAGACAGCCTGTTTCGAACTGTTGGGTCTCATAAGTGTCAGGGCGCTTCGAGCCCGGCTCGGTGGCGAGATGGAAGGCATTTCAGTCTTTGCAATATGGGTTGCCTACTACTGGCGTAAAGTAGAAATCCTATTGCTAGTTAGACTCTTTTGGGCCGCGTACGGTTTGATAAAACCTACCACTGTGTGTGTCTAAGTGCATTGTGATTGCACGCCGCATAGCGAGGCAACGTCTTTAGACGGTAGATGTCTCCAGACTGACTTACCGATACATCTCACCGCTGTCCTGGTCACTTATTTCTTTATAAGTGAACAGCCCTGGCGAAAATGAAATGTGCAAAAAGTGTGCAAAATTATTTGAGAACAATGTGCCAACAATGTGCAACCTTTTATAAAAATGATGTGCGGAGGGTGGGAAATGAAACATGAAACAATGTGCAAAACCAAAAATTTAAAAGTGTGAATAATCACTGGACAATGTTCTAAAGGGAACTCCTTTTGATTTTTCACATTGTTTGCACACTGTTTCTTGCCACCTAGGTGCAGCTGTGTGCCTATTATAAAAACAGATTCTTTTTGGTGACCTATAAAGTCTTTTAAATTTACATATAATTGAAATATAAATCATGCTTCTGAGAGGTGATTTTTGGACTTTCTGTGAAACCTATTTTTTTTATATTCTTGTTAATTAGGTCATAACTAAAATTTTAAGAGCAAAATAAAAAAAATTTGACGGTTAATTTTGTTTTAATTGGATGTTTATTAAAAATATGTATGCACACTTTTAATTCTCCAATTAAAACTTTATTTTATTTAAATATTATCATAACTTTTTAAATCAGATTAAAGATTAGTTAATTTCCTAAAAAAAGGTCTATACTTTTTTTATATCTTTTACTGTTTTGTTGTAATACACGTTTAAAGTTTTAATTTAAGGTTAAATGTATAGTATACATAAATGTACAATGTAAACAATAATTCTAAGGGTGCCACATTTTATTTAGGGCCGATTTATTCATTTCTGATTTATTTGACGAATAATTTCTTTGGATACTAGATATTGCCAAGACATGAAAGTTATCGGCCCGATAAACTTTACTAAAGATGAATAAACCGGTCCTTAGTTAAATTTCATGAATTTATTTACTACAATTTTTCATTTTTGTTTATAAAAAACACTTTAAAAAACTAAACAAAAATTATAGAATACGTATACTGAAAATGACAATTCAAACGTCAAATAAATTTTTAATAAATCTAAGTTTCATGGCAACCTTTAAGGATATATTAATTAAGGGAACATAAATGTATACGTCAAAGGTTAGATTAAAAGTTTGAACTTTTATTGCAACAAAACAGTAAAATATATAAAAAAAATTGTAAAAACCTTTTTTTTAGTTATGCAAATATTAAATATTTAAATTAAATCGCTAGTTTTAATTGGATTATTGAAAGAGTGCATAATATTTTTAATAAACAGCCAATTAAAACAATTCAAACCGTCAAATTTTTTTTATTTTGCTCTTAAAATTTTATTTATGACCTAATTAACAAGAATATAAAAAAAATTAGGTTTCACAGAAAGTCCAAAAATCACCTCTCAGAACAGCACCGTGAAATATCCTTATAATAATATTAATCAAATAATTATTTTTTTCAAAAAAATTTAAAAAAAAAATACCCACAATGTAGGTCCTACATACTGTATTTTATTAAGAAAAATACCTGCACTGTCAACTCCACGAAGGGGATTGCTTTGCGAGATATATCTAACATGTGCTTAAACTGTTGAGTGATCGCTAAAATTGTACAAACAATGTGTAATATAAGTGCCATAAACGAGAAATATTAAAGCGTGCTAACAGTGTGTATAAAATGTGACATGCGTAAGATAGACTGAAGCTTTGCAAAATGTCTTTAAACAATGTACTAATACAGTGCAAACAAT